GGGGGCCGCGTCCCCCCGCTCCCGCGGCCGGGCAGGGCAGGCTGGCACATACTTCAACATCTGAGCGGAGATTCAATTATATGCACTACTTCATTTATTTAGCTGTCCAGTCGCACTGATCAGACTTGGAAATTAAGAGGCATGCGGTTAGAGGGATCCTGTCAAATCACATTTAGCCCAGCTCTTCCCTGCTTGGATTTTAAAATGCAGCTTTTTTACATGACCTGCAGCTACGAAACAACTTTCTGCTACTCTTCCTCAAGAATAAAAAAAAAATCCAGTGGAAAGCGGTGAGGGTGAAACCAGTTCCCCGGCTCCATTTCCAGCCTGAGCTCTGCAGCTGTACGTCTCCAGGCGTTTTAAAACCCTCGCCCTTTTAGCAGGCGGCGCGAGGGTGCGGGGCAGGAGCAGCTCAGCACAGGGCAGGGGCCTCGGGGGAGCCGGAGGAAGGAGGACGGGAGAAGGCGGTGCGGGATTTGGCAGTTATTTTTCTAGCTGAGGGCCAGCAGGATTTGCAAACCTCCTCCCCCAGTTTGGGACAGAGCTAAAAATGCCTCCCGCCACACCCTGCGCTCGCACGCACCCTCACGTGCCGGCGCCGCGGCGTGTGCGGGACAGATAAGGCCGTGCTGGGAAGCTGCGTGCAAGTCCGTGCGGAGCAATCCTGCCACCCTGTCCCCGCGGGGAGGCCACCCGGGGGGCCACCGGCGATCCCGTCCCGGTGCCACCTCCGCTCCAGCATCCTCTGGGATAAGCCCTGCGGAGCGCTGCAGCGGGGGGGAAGCTTCCCCCTCCTTATTTCACCCCAAGGGGAATGAAGTCGTCCCTCAGCAGTGAATAACCGCAAAGCTGGGGCTGTCGGCAGCGGGCAGGGACGTGTCCCACCCCGCAGCCGGCCGGGAGGGAGCAGACTGCCCTGGGTTTGTGTCCTGGTGGGGAAATCCAGCCCTCGGCCGCCGCAGGAAGCTGCCGGCGACGGCCACGGCATCGCAGCGTGCCGGCAGCGCTGCCGGCGGCGAGCAGGACCTGGCCTTGCCGCAAGCCCCCGTTTTGGGGAACCCTCTCGCCACGCTCATCCCCTCGCTGTGCGGAGGCGATGCTCTGTGGAGGGGGGATGCAGCGGGCATGCCCCCGTCCGTCCCAGCCTCACGCCAGCCGGGGCACTGGCCAGGACAGCCCTGTCCCCCGCCAGCCTGGCACGCTCGGTCCTTGTGCCCCGAGCCTCCAGAAGGATGTGGGGACACAACGGAGCAGCTGGGGCTGCTGACGGCAGAGCCGCGGCAGCGTGGTCCCCGCCTGAGCGTGGGCAGGACACGTGTCCCATGGGGGGACGTGGGTGGAGGGGGGAGGGCAGAGTTTGTGCACTGGCAGCAGCTGGAGCCCCTTCCTCCTGCTGACTCAGTGTCTGCTCTGCTCAGCCTTTGAGGTTGAAAGCAACCGCGCTGTGCCGGGAAGCGGCTGAGCCTCGTCGCGATGCCAGGGGCCGGCCGGTGTTGCGCAAGAGGAAGGGATGCTGCTGAAATCTGTCTCCCCCCGCCTGAGCATCGCCGCTGCTGGGCTCCGGCTCTGAACCAGCACCCTCCGCTCCCGCCATGGGAGCCTGGGCCGAGCCCGGTGCTGCTGGTGTCACTGGTCCTGCACTGGGATCCCATCCCCATCCCTGTTCGTGCCCGGGTACCAGCAGTCTGTCCCTGGTGACGGAGCTGCAGCATCCCTCGGTGCCCTGAGCAGCGTTCGCCTTTCCCCCTCCAGCCCAGGAGCGGGTCCTGGGGCTCCCAGCCGGACCCCGCTGCCCCGCGGAGGCCATGGGGCAGCAGCCGCGGGTGCAGGCAGGAGTTTCAGGCAGGACCCGGCTGCAGCTCTGTGTGTGTGTCAGAAACGATGTGGCCGATTAGAAACATTGTGAGTTTAAAAACTGCATCGAGGCTCTTGAAGTGCCTTGTGCTCTCGCTCCGCATCCTCCGGCGTGGGGGGGCGGAGAAAGAGAGAGCAAAGCCCCCCATCACCTGCCTCCGGCAGCTGGGGCTTGAGCACAATCCCCCTGTCCTGGGGGCTCGGCTCTGGTTGTCAGTGGGGGATTTTAGTGCCAAGGCCCTGGAGGGGCCTCGGCAGCCCCGGGGTTGCTGCCCGTTATCCCTGACCCGAGCTGGGGTGGCCTCTGCTTGCGGTGCTGGCGCCCACTGAGAAGGGGCCGGGAGGGTGGGGGGCAGCCGGCGGCTTCCCCCGGCCCGGGGCGGCAGCGGGGAGAGCCGGCCCAGAGCCAGTGCCCGGACCCAGGCTCAGCCCTGGCTGAGGGGGCTCCCGCGGGCGGACCTGTGCTGTGGACTCGGTGGCAGGTCCCACGCAGCCGGCGTGGGGACAAGGAGGTGGCCCGGAGGGTGACAGCCTCGCCGGGTCATTCCCAGGGGCAGAAAATCAACCCGACGGCGCCGAAATCAGCAGAGCTCTGCGTGCTCCCCGGGGCGGGATAGGGTCACGGAGCTCTGCCAACCGGCGGGGAGGCCCCGGCGTGGCCGTGGCCGGTGGGATGCCGGGCGTCACCCCGGGGAGGTGGCACACGTGGGGACCTCCGTCACCCCAGGCTCTCCTCTCCCTGCCTCCATCCCCGGCGTGGGCAGCAGGAGGGGTTTCGGCCATAAAAATGCTGCCCGTGGGTTCCAACAGCTCAAATCAAGGCGTGCGGGGGAGGCGGGGGCAGGCAGCCAGCCCCAGCCCCTGCTCGGGGTTAGGGGGGTCCCGGCCCGGGGCAGTGCCGGGAAACATCATCTGCCTTGGTGACTCAGCTCCTGATGGAGCGGCTCTTTCTGCTGAGTCAGCAGCAGCAGCCCCCGCGCTGTCCCGCAGAGCCCCCGCGCTGGGCTGGCCCCCGCCGCCCCCCGGGGGGCCGGAGCCTGGCTTAGGGGGCCCAGAGCTGGTGGGGACACCCCCCACCCCCCAAAACTGGCTTCACCCTGCAGCGCCCGGGCTTTCCAGAGGCGCTGTGGGAGCTCGAGGCACGCAGGGGCCGCTGGGCTGGGGGGGAGGCTGGAAGCGGGGGGGCAGAGGGGTGCAGACCCCTGCCAGGTTTGTAATTACAGCCTGAGCGGGGCCCTCGCGCGCGCAACCTGAGCCCCGCGGGGAGCAGGGGAAGCAGAAGCGTCCGTCTGCCAGCGCAGGTGTCTGTCCTGGCCCTGCTCCATCGGGGTGGCCGAGGGGAATTGGGACCTCGAGTCCCCCCGGCCCTCGTCTCGGCTCCCTGGGCGTTGGGGACGGAGCCGCGTCGCGAGCCGTGGGGTTCAGCGGGGAAAACTCACGGCCGAGGGTGTTTGGGGCCCTGTGCCTCTGGGGAGGGTGGGTTTCACACCTCCCCTTTGCTTCCACCTTTCTTTCCTCAGCGTGTCCGAGGGCGCAGCCGGCGGCACCCCGCGGCCCTGGGATGACCAGGGATGCTGGGTGCTGCAGAGCCCCGGCCCCACTGCGGCATCGCTGGGTTGCTGTGGGGCGCCGGCCTGGGCGTAAAACACCTCTGCCGATCGCGGGAGAGCTCAGGATGAGTCCCTGCAGGGCCCCGCGTCCGCGTCTCTGCCACCTCCCCTGCTTTCCCAGCAGGGACCCTCCAGCCCTGCTCACCTCCCGGTGCCTCTGGGGAGGGATGGAGCCCGGGGAGCCGGGGGGATCGGGGGCAGCTCCCCTTCCGGCGGGGCCCTGGCAGACACTGCCCCGGCTCGCAGAGCCCTCCCTGGGCAGTGCCGCGGCCTCTCCGCCCTGAGCCCCCCTCTCCCCCCGCCCAGGTGACAGCTATGGGGTGCTGCCCCGGCCCTGCCGCGCGCTGGTGCGGCTGACCCCGCAGAGCGGCGCCGGCCGCGCACTCGAGGACTTCCAGGCGGTGGTGCAGCCCATGCTGGCCGAGGCCGACATCGCCACCACTGTCTTCATCACCGGTGAGTCCGCGAGCGGTTCCCTCGCCTCCTCCTCCTCCTCCTCCTCCCTTCCTGGGATCCTCCCTGGGTGCCGCCGCCCTGGGACGGGCTCCTCCGAGGCCTCGTACCCCCCGCATCGCTGCGGCTCTGGCGGGGCTGGTTTGGACAGGGTGATGGGTGGGTTGGGTGCACTCAATAGGGGTAGCTTGGGGTCCCCGTGGGGACAGCGGGGCTGGGGTCAGCGTCTGGGGGGTGGCAACAGGCAGGGCAGAGGGACGGAGGGCGACACTCAACTCTCTCCGCTTTCCCCCGCAGAGAGGCCCCACCACGCACACGAGAAGGTGCGGGATGAGGACCTGTCGCAGTGGGACACGTTGGTGGTCATGGCCGGGGATGGGCTGCTGTACGAGGTGAGGGGCAGCGCGGGCATCGCCCCGGCCAGGGTGGGCAGAGAGCCGGGAGGAGAGGGGTGCCTGGGGCAGGAGCCAAGCTTCGAGGCACGAAGGCAGGCAGGGAATGGTGAAGGAGAGATGGCGCCGAGCTTGGAGCAGAGCAGGGCAGCCACGGCCTGGGTCCTGCCCTGGCTGGGGTCACCGTGGGCTCCGCTCCCCCCGGGCTGCCTGGGGGCCGCTGCGTTCCTCGCCCGGCTCTGGGTGCCACAAGCTCCCTCTGTCCCCACAGGTGGTGAACGGGCTCATGGAGCGGCCGGACTGGGAGGACACCATGAAGAAGCCGCTGTGCATCCTGCCGGGGGGCTCCGGGAACGCCCTGGCCGCCTCCATCAACCACTACGCAGGGTGAGCCCCGGCCCCGCGGGGGCAACCGCTGCCGCGCCGCACCGGCTGGGGCCCGGGGCCGGCGTTTTTGGCCGCCAGGAGCGGGGGACGAGGGAAGGGAAAGGCTGCGCATGGCTCCGGCCCCGGGGAAGGGTGCTGGGATGCCCCGCGCAGGGGTGCCCGCCTGGGCCCCCACCTCCCCGCAGGCTGGTGCTGCCCAGCCCCAGCCGGTCCCTGCGAGCGTCAGATTGCGTCCCTGTGTCCCCAGCTCCCCCCTGCCCTTTCTCCTCTCCGGGCTCCGAGCCTGGCAAAGCTTTACCCCAGAGGATCCACCCCGGGGCACGGCCGATCCCGCTGCACGGCAAGGGGACCGGGATTGCCCTGGCCCAGCAGCCCCAGCTTGCTTCCCTCTCTCAGGAGCTGGTTTACCCTTCCCACCCCCAGCAAAACCTCTCCCAGCAGCCGTCCCTGAGGGACGCTGGCACCCAGCTGGGATGTGCCCCAACAGTGACACCGGGGCGAGGTTGCACGTGGATGCTGGGACAGCGGGAGCGGCCCCGAGCTGGGTCCAGCCCAAACTCACCCTCTCCGTCCCTCGCAGCAACGACCACGTCGCCAAGAAGAAGCTGCTGACGAACTGCACCTTCATCCTGTGCAAGGGGCTGCACACGCAGATGGACCTGGTCTCGCTGAGCACGGCCTCAGGCAAGCGCCTCTTCTCCTTCCTCGGCTTCGGCTGGGGCTTCATCTCAGACGTGGACATCGACAGTGAGAAGTACCGCCGGCTGGGCAACGCCCGCTTCACCCTGGGCACCCTGCAGTGCCTGGCCAAGCTGCGGGTGTACCAGGGCCGCCTCTCCTCCCTGCCCGCCGTC